GAAACACATCACTATACAACAGAATTAATTAATACTAAATTGTTATAAATCTACGCTTCACCTTCTTTATGAAAAAGTTGTACAAAATTGGAACGTCTTCTAATTATGAATGTACAGAAAGTAATCTAATACCATGGGATAATAATTATATTTTATATTAAACCTCCAGTCTGTGCTCGACGTGCAGGAGAAGGAACGGGGTGGTTTTTAGTCAGTAAGAGTCTGACACTCCCTCCCGCCTCACCCAGGCGGGGGCAGTCATTCGATGATATTCCCCCCTAAAAAAAAAATCAGTGATAGCTAGCTATACTCTAATATGTATACATATAGTATAGCTAGATCTGTGATGGCCTTCATAGTACACCTTAATATTAGAAAATATTGAATAAACTGGCAAACTCTCGGCCCTGACAGACAAAATGAAATACTGTCGATTCTCAAGGATTCATAGTAATATTCTATCCTGTGTACAATTACATTTTTGATAGAACTCAAGAGATTCCAAATATTTCAGTCAGTACAGATTTTATTTGAGTAGAAATCCTCATGAAGTATCTCCGTCTGGTGAGACGCGGAGGAACGTGACGGCTTCTTCCCGGCCAAAACCATCCCAGTGTGTGTCCGCCTGTGCGCGGGGTCCCTTGTACGTTGATAACAACCCAAAATATCCTTAAGTGCCACCTATGTTTTGTGTTCATAATTATATCCTACTAGCTTCCGGCAGCGGGTTCGCCCGCGTGCCCTGAGGTATAAAGTCGCCTGTGTAGCTGTTACTCCAGACCATAATCTACTTATGTTCCAAATGTCATCGGGGAAGCGTTGGCAGTAAGTTTAGACGTGGCGAAGGCCTTCGATCGGGTTTGGCATAGAGCGCTTCTTTCGAAGCTTCCTTCCTACGGACTTCCCGAGAAATTATGCAAATGGGTCTCCTACTTCCTTGCAGACAGAAGCATTAAAGTCGTCGTCGACGGTGAATGCTCTGACTTGATGTCTGTAAATGCAGGCGTCCCTCAAGGCTGCGTGCTATCGCCTACATTGTTCCTCCTCCATATCAATGACATGCTGCAAATCAGCGGCATTCATTGTTATGCGGATGACAGCACAGGCGATGCCTACTACACCGGCCGCGCTAACATTTCTCGGGAAAACGTCATAGAGAGCCGAAACAGACTCGTGTCTGAAATCGAGACCTCTTTAGGGAGAATCTCTGATTGGGGTGGACTTAATTTGGTCCAATTTAACCCCACTAAGACACAAGTCTGCGTGTTTACCGCTAAGAAACTGCCGTTGGTCGTCTCTCCTCAGTTTCAAAGCACCCCCCTAACTGCCTCAGCCGGTATTGGAATACTTGGTGTCAATATTTCGAGCGACGTCCAGTTTTGCGGTCATTTAGAGGATAAGGCCAAATTAGCCTCGAGGAAGCTTGGTGTGCTCAATAGATCGAGGCAGTATTTCACCCCGACCCACCGCCTGCTTCTATATAAGGCACAGGTGCGGCCCCACATGGAATACTGTTCTCATCTTTGGGCGGGGGCACCCCAGTACCAGCTTCTTCCTCTGGACCGCATTCAGCGGCGTGCCGTTCGGATTGTTGGATGTCTGGATGTTTCAAACCGGCTCGACACTTTGGCAATGCGTAGAGATGTAGCTTCATTGTGCATTTTCTACCGCTTATACCACGGGGAGTGCTCTGAGGAATTGTTTGACCTGATTCCTGCCGCATCTTTTCGCCATCGACCCTCACGACAGCATATGCATCTCCATCATATAGATTGTTGGCAGGCCACAACTGTGCGCTTCTCACGTAGCTTCCTGCCTCGCACAGCAAAACTGTGGAATGATCTGTCGTCGGCGGTATTTCCGAACCGATACGACCTTCAAACCTTCAAGAAAAGAGCGTACTCCTTTTTAAAAGGCCGGCAACGCATCTGTGACTCCTCTGATGTTGCGGGTGTCCATGGGCGGCGCTGATCGCTTACCATCAGGTGATCCGTCTGCTCGTTTGCCTCCTATTCCATAAAAAAAGTACTATAGCTAAGGGTTTATAGATAAGGATTAATAGCTACTATTAACCGTTTACCTGGTGTTTGAGCTTGAATAATTTGTTTGATGAGAACTTTGCACCCATGTGGGATATATACGTAGTATACTAGGTTTATATAGCCTTGACTAAACTAAAAAGCATAAAAATAAAAACAGAAATGCATTTAAAAAAACCGACTTCGAAAACCGAAACCAAAAAACAAGCAAAAGGTAAAAACTAAAAAGCACAAAATAACTATTATTAGTCATACGTACTTACATATAGCTTACACACCCACTGATAGGATAGAAGTCGGTGCCACAAACTCATAACAAAGTATAACTTAGGTTAATGGTCATGATTATAATCTGTCATGAAATACAATCAATACACAGCTTAGGTAATATAAGGCAGGTATTTGTTACGGGTTTAACTTTTGTTTACAACTTGTGGCACCGACTTCCATCCTATCAGTTGGTGTATATCACGTATTTACAATACGTATGACTAATAATAGTTATTTTGTGCTTTTTATCTTTGTCTAGGGGTTGAGCCGCACAATTAAGTTCGTTTTTAGTTTTTCGGAATAAAAAGTACTTAGTGTGATGTAAGGATATTAAAGTATAATTCTAACCTAACCTAACCTACAGCCTGACGCAGGTCCTCACCGGACATGGAAGTTTCGGGAGGTATTTGTGTCTGATGGGGCGGGAGGAAACGCCCGTGTCATCACTGCGAGGACCCGGTGAAACACACTGTAGCGGAATGCTCTGCGTGGGCTGAGCTCCGCCGCGCCGTGCCCTCAGGGCAGTGATCGGCGATGGCGACCTCTCGCGTCCGGGCCTAGTGCGGGTCATGGTGCGGAGCGAGGGGGACTGGGATGCCGTCTCCTCCTTTTCGAAGCAGTTATGCTAGCTAAGGAGGAGGCGGGACGCGTGAGGCAACGAAGCGCTGCCTACTTGCAACCCAACCATCGCGAAGGAACCACCCAGCCTCCCGCCTCACCCAGGCGGGAGCAGCCATTTGATGATTTCCCCCCTTAACATAAAACCTGACCTTATAGTACACAGTTCTAACTACACGGATCAGACAACAATTTTTTATTAACATTTTTGGGTTCGGAGTCTCTTTATTTATTAACACTCCCTGCTATTTTTTTAAATATTTTGAATGTACAGAATTGACACTTGTACAGTTTTATTATATGTGTAGATACTTATAGATTTAACTCGTCGAGTACCGGTTTTGTAGACACAATTATAGAACAATAGGTTGCGGTCACCGGTGACCGCTCAGTGTTTGACAGTTTAAGAGAGGATGTTGGAAATGTCCGTCACTGTCGTTTAGTTACTATTACAATTTCGGACATTTACTAGTAATTGAACATAAGGCGACCCGTACAGATGTCAGAGTTCACACCTATTTCTGTCCGCAGGGTTTAAAGTAACGTAACGAATGGTCGTATTCTAACCATTCATACCTATCCGCCTTCCATGTCGGCACTGCTGCAACCCAGCAATGAACTTGTCATTTATATTGGAACATTCATTCGTTTGTCACCGAGTATTTCGTAACATCATTACAAAAGCGCGGTCCGCGTGCTGACAGTAACAGTCCCCTTGTTGTTTCCAAAGCAACAAGCGCCCTGCTGTTACTGTATGCGATGACCCTAACCCGACGTTCTGTGTCCCTTTTACCTTTAAGGTCAAAACTGAAACTTACCTCGAAATGAACTATCACAAAACTGTCAGACTTTTATCATGTACAGTTGTTAGATACCGTACCGACTTACGTAGGTTTTACTGGACTTACCGTAATACGGACTTTTACAGAGACATAAAGGCTGCAACCCGCGTTAGTCGCGCCATGTGTTGTAATGGGCTTCAAACATACTAACGCCAGGCCGAGCCTTCGCCAGTGGATCGTTGACGCGGAGCCACGGAGCCGTGGCCGGCCCACAGCTCGCACGCTCTGTATATTTATACTGCCGGAGCCGCGGTCACTGTCAGGGTGCCCGCGCGGATATATTTACACTGCACGAGTACTACGCGCCGATAGTACGTGTCGTGCCCGCCCACGCACCCGCCCGCTCGTTGTGTCATTCATCTAATTGACTTATTTTTATTTTCCGATTGATGTCCTTATTGATAACTTCCCTTGAAGCATATATAGTAAGCATACATAATAAGTAAACAACTTGCGGGTGTGATGTACTTATGCGGATGTCAGCAAGAGTCTGACACTTACTCCCTGTCGCCTCACCCTAAAAAAAAGCAACTCTGAGCAGGGGCCTTAGTGACGGGCGGACTGCAGTGCTGTGCTGCGCTGCAGTTACCCTGAATATTTTATTTGTTTGTTTGAAGGCGTTAATCTCAGGACTTACATGTTCACGTTGAAAAAATATTTTTTTTTTTACTAACTTCTCGCGTGTTTGTCATACACACGGGTGTATGAGAGAGTTGAGTGCCCATAGCGCAATTATACACACGGGTGTACGAGAGAGTTGAGTGCCCATAGCGCAATTATACACACGGGTGTACGAGAGAGTTGAGTGCCCATCGCGCAATTGTACATACGGGTGTACGCGAAACGCAAATCGCTCGCTTAATGACTACCTCGAGGGCTGTTTAATGCATAAGTCAAAATGACTTAAGCAGTGGCGTAGCAAACCTTGGCCCCGTATAAAGTATGTTTGTAGCAATTTTGTCAATCGAAAATGAAAACACTTTGATGTCTTATAAACGAGTTCGCGTTTACAACTCCTCGATGAGTGGCATTTTATTCGTTTTTAGATGAATGTTCTTTTTTACGTAGATGGTTATTTTATTGTACCCACTGCCTGATTTCCATATGTAATTGAATTGCAATTGAGGGCGCCGAAGAAATCTCACCCGCTGGGCGCTAGTAGTACTAAAACCGGCACCGGAGATACAAATGATGTACCTGTGTATAATATGTAATTTTGTTGTGGCGGCAGGAGGCGAGCACCGCCAGCGGGCCGGACGAGGTGCGGCTGGACGAGGAGATGGACCGCGTGGTGTGGGGCGACGCGGCGCCGCGCCTGCCCGCCGCCGCCGGCGAGCCGCGCCGCGACAGCGCCGCGCCGCCGCCCTACTCCGTGCGCGGTACCGCTCCACTATATACTAGAACGCTGCCTCGTAGCGCGACTGGCCGCAGACACTACTTTATCTAGTGATTCTATCGAGCAAAAGACTAGGGTTCGATTCCTGGGTCCCATTTTTCAAAAGTCCAAATGCACTTTTGCCCCAACTATAGCACAAAATTATTTTATATTCGATTTCGTTGTGATTCGATGTTCGTATATTTTGTGTGTGTTATACTATGTACATGTTTTTATTTTTTAGGACCTTGGGGTCAGTTGTTTGTACTTTTTGATTTTGATGATAACGGCGGGTGTGACTTAATTACTCGTCGCATCTTCTTGCTGATGGATGATACTTATACAATGTTGATAGATCTTACTTACATACTTAGCTCGACTGCCCGTATCTGGGTGTGTATGGTTTGGTTAGATAGCCTTTTACTTCAATTGTACTCAAATTATAAGCAATTTAGTAAACCTGTAAAACGTTTCAATTGGCCTGAAGTCAGGGTTTTATAAAACTATTTATGAAAACTAGAACAACATTAAGAAAATCACTTTTTTAAATATATGAACAGAAAGGACAATAGGTGCAGTTGGCCTTGGGCCCATCTCTCAGTAGCAATATGACACCCCTCTATTGATCAATATTCTTATGCAGAACAAGACTTTGTATTACGACTAAGGTCAGCTCAAAGCGGGCGGTGACTGGTGTCGAAGTTATCTTCATATCTTTAAACGAGCAATTCACGTAATAGGGAACTATGTATCAACATTCTCGGAAACGGCTCGAATCATTTTCTTGACAATTTGTATTATTCAGAGGGTTTTGAGTGCGATATATCGATCTAGCTATACACCGAGCCTATAAGTTTGCCAAGAGAGTAATCACAATCTAAGCAATTACTCATTGTTTACATCCCCACTGCTATACTAACACCAGGAAGGCAGTTCGATAAATAAACTGCCACTCATCCAAAAACTAACCTCGGTAAGCAACTTAACCTTATTAAAAAAAAAACTTAGAGATCGACTCGTATGCGCGCCAGTGCGCGCCAGTGCGCAGTGTCGCATATCGTGTGTCGAATAAATGCTTTTTCTGTCTTTCTGACATAATTCAGCCACGAGTTTGTCTACTGTCTTGTATTGATTCTAGTATTAGGTACAAAGAGAATCTATAAGGATAATAGTATAAAAGTCTTATAACGTCTCAATATAGAATACCTTAGAATAGTTCATTTGACCATAGGTATATTAATAACTATATTTAAAAAGTCCTCTCCAACAGTATATTTGTCACATGCTGCTATTGAGGGGGGGGGGGGCACACTCCATACATATGTGTCGCATGTTCCTTTGTATGATACTCAGATTGGTCAATAGGTACAATCGCCCTGTGTACAAGTTTCCTATGGTCACACCATGCAATGAATGCCTTGTACCCGGTCTTCTCTTGACCTGCTGCAGCCATAACTTCCCATACAGCTAAAGCGTCGTCAATTAAAATCGTCGTGTATAGTTTTCTCCTCAAATGACCACAATAAAATAAACTCGCACGGTTCTCAAACATTATTTGTCTGGACGTCAAAAACCCAAAAATGTAAGTCGCCCGGAATCGACCAAAATAATGTTCCTGTGGCGCGGTGGAGTATACACACTCACAGTGTACCAAATTCTATATTTTTGACAACTTGCCTTAGATACCTATATCAGTCAGTTTATATTGGTTCATTATCACATAGTAGTAGATATGATCATATTGAAAAATCTTATACTTTTGAGGGTTTGCTTGTACTTTTAATTTGCGTAAATGTAATTCTCAACTGAATTCTTCATCACTTTCTAACAAACATGAATAATGTCAATTGTTCACGCGCCTTGTTATACAAAGTATTACTCTGCAGGTTGCTGGCTCGTTCGGTTATGGTTTCGGCCAAACCTAATAGCGTACTTGTGTATTGTATCTACATATGGTGTATTATATGGTTCAATAGCTCTTGCCCACGACTTCGTCTGTGGAATAATGTCTACTGGAATGCAATTTTGGTTTTTGTATTATTGTTTCCGAAAACAGATTTTACGGTTGTAACATACGTCAACAAAATCGAATCAGCACATAAGTTAGATTTAATATGAATATAATTTGCTTCCGTGGTTTAAAATAATAAACAATTCCACAGGGGTTTTACGCGTTCAGGTCCTATTCCCATGAGGTTTTAGCGATAAACACGATCCAATGTCCTTTCCCGGGTATCAAACTGTTGTTGTACCGAATTTCAATCAAATAGTTTCAGTGGTTCAAGAAATGGAGAGTCCCAGGATTTTACAGCATAGTTCCCATTCTCGTAGGATTGCTCTGCCCTAAAGGGGGTAATTTCTAAAATTCTCTTAGTACAGTAGTTTTTGAGAGGTGTAAACTACTACACCCCTCATCAAACATCCATGCCAAATTTCCCTTGGTTAGTCTCTCGGCTTAATTGTCCCTTCCCTTTCGTGCCCAACGCAAGGCTCTCCCACACTCCCATAGTTGTTATTTAAAATATACATATATACATATTTTCAGTTTCTGTGAGCTATAAAATATCTGCACTTTTATATTGTACCAGCAGCTAGTTCCGCGCGGTTTCACTGCCGCTGCCGTGTTTTATATCACACAACTTACTTATCTCAATAAATGGAATATCCGGTATAGTTCATCAGAGAAATAATTTTATATCGAAATATTATCCCTAAAGGTCATTTAACTAAGTCACAGCAGTGTCCAAACAAGCAACCAACGCGAACGTTTGGAATTCGATGTTTTTAATTCTCCGTGCCCTGGCGTGCCCTGTTCACTAAATAGCGATTTTTTGCAGATGGAGTGACTTCGAGCAGCTCCGAGCTGTCGCAGCCGCCAGTCAGCACCGGTTCTGAGCAGCAGGTGAGTGTGAGCACCGTACCGCCACCGCGCCGGCTCCGCGCCTCTACCTCGCGGCCCCGCTGAAGGTCGAGTGGGCCTGGCCCGCGCCATGCTCCACCGCGCAATACAATATAAATATATATCGACACGCAACCTACTACAAATAAGGATTGTTAAATAACGAAGTGTAGTCCGGGCAGCATGTGGCACTGTGTGAGTGGCGCGGGCTTGAGTGTCAGGGCTCGGGGGCGCAGGCGGGGCAGTGTAATGAGGTGTGTTGTGTTGTGCTGTGCAGACATCGGGCGGCGCGTGGTCCGGCTCGGGGTCCGGCGGCAGTCCGCGCGAGGCCGACGAGCGGCACGTGCAGTTCGACGGCGAGCGCGCCGAGCGGCCCGACCTCGCAGACACCTTAGACGACGCCGACGAGGAGCGCCGAGCACAGCGTAACATGTGAGTCCTAACTAATCGCTCCTGTCCCGGGTCTTACTGCCTGGAGCTGCAGCAGCATCCTTGAAATGTTTCGGTCTCCAAACTGTTGCTGATCCTGCTGATAATCTCTCTAGTGTCGTAGACTCGTAGTGGAACAGATACCATCTGTGCTGTAGCTTACTACCAATGTGGTATGTTGGCATTACGTATGTATACTCAAACCTAAGTAAATATGTGCATATACACAATGTAACATATCATTCATGGTACAGTCGCCAAAGATGGCCTGCTTCCTGAGATGACTCACTTTAAAATAAATACAGTTATGGTCTACCGAAACATTTGAAACTTCGCAGGTTTATGCTGCTAGCGCCCTAAACAAAAATGCAAGAGGTACTCATTATCGGCGCATCGCCATTTTAAATTCGGACGACATTTTGGTTGGTCCTGTCAAAACGATACCCGTTTTACAAAATCCATTATCTTAATCTTATTAAAAGTTATCAATTTAAAAATAAACATTATTCTTTAAATAGTCATAAATATTAATTTTCTATTTCACAGCGAGTTACGTGTGCCACTTTTATTATATTTTGGTTTTGTATTTTTACGAGACATTTTGTTCAAGTCTCCTAAGATGGCACACAGCGTAGTTCACCAAGATGAATGGCACAAAACAACAGTTTACTGTAACTAAACTAGCTATTACCCCCCAAGACTTCGTTCCCGTGAAATTATTCATATTTCTTGTTAATTTATACTTTTTTGACGTGACAACGTGTTGATTGCCGACTGCCGAGGCGTATTTGAGAGCTAGAAACGTAACGTTTATTGTCTACTCAAGATGTCGACTGCGGTTTGTCTGTTATTGTCATTAAAATGAATTATCAAAACGAAATAACCTCCGTAATCTGAATTTTGTGGATATACGACTCGAGATCGATATTCTTTTATTATGTTTTGTTATTCAGATAATGTTTCGATCGAGTCTACCCCCTTGACGAAATTATTAATATAGACGTGAAATTAAGTTTTATTTTGTAGTTGTCTTTTATTTGATGGTTGATTTTTATTATCACAGACTAGTGTTATACGAAGGATATGTTTTATGTTAGCAGTATTTAATTGTAATTATCCTTAATGCACATTGCACACACTTGCAATAGGCGACTATGTTTCTAAGATGGCCCGATACCAAATTGTTAAAAAGTCTTTCAATTTGTATGAAAATGGCAAAAACTGTTGTACTTCTTCAACCGACTTCAAAAAAAAAGGAGCTTCTCTGTTTGACCTGTATGTATGTGCCCACGTATGTATGTATGTATGAGACGCAACAAAATAATTCAGTCTTCAGAAAAGTGCGTTTACACTAAGGAGAATGTTTTAGTACCTATATGTATTAAAACTTCAAAAAACTAAAAGAAAGAAAGACTTTATTTCACACGCTAAAAAATAGGTGGCACATACAGATTATACTCATAAGTTTAATAATTGTAAATAAAAATAATTGTAAGTGTAAATAAAATGAGGGTGGAAGTCGGTTTTTACCGACTTCAAAAAAAGGAGAAGGTACTATATTCGACTGATTGTTTTTTTTTTGTTTCTTCGCCGATTACTCCGCCATTTGTGAACCGATTTCCAAAATTCTTGTTTTGTTGGAAAGGGTATACTCCCGAGATGGTCCCACTTCTATGAGGTCAGGATCTGATGATGGAATCCCAGGAAACCAAGGGGAACTTTCGAAAATTGTAGGGGCGAGTAATTCGTCTATTATGTTTTTCAACTAGGATTTTTAAACACTACAATTTGATAAGGGACTGGAGTCGACCTGATGATGGAGCCGACAGACAGTCGAGAGAACTCCTCAACGGTATATATTAACTACCTTGTGTTTGGCCTTGTGTAATTTGTGTTGATTAGAACTTTGCGCCTATGTAGATTATAAGTGACTAAACGGATCTATGTAGCTGTACACTGAAAATGATTTTATATATTTATTTTTTAATTATTTATTTATTTATTTATAATTCATGGAGGACTTACAGCATATAAAAATTTATAAAAATAACAATAGGCGTAGGTAACAATAAGCCAATAACAAGTCCTCACGTTTAACATTTGAAAAAAATTAATTAATAAGGTGTGAGTACTATACAATATTAAAAATACATACATTCTGCGTAAATGAAAAAAATAAATATTGAAACAGACCGTACAGACAATATGATTATGAACAGATCAAGAGAAACGATAAAAAAAACTAAAGATCTAGTGCTGATGCTATGATAAAATAATAAAATTAAAAACTGCGTTTAAAAAACCGACTTCAAAAAACCAAAAACTAATAACAAACAAAAAGTTAAAACTAAAAAGAAAAAAAATAACTATTATTGGTACTGAGAGACTACCCACCCACCGATAGGTTAGAAGTCGGTGCCATAAGCTTATATCATAATGATATAACTTAATGGCCACAAAATTGTAATTAGGTATCTATTGAGGTTTTAATTGTATAGAACTCATGGCGCCGACTTCTAACCTATCAGTATAAATAATAGTTATTTATTGCTTTTTAATTTTGACTTTTTGTTTTCTGAAGTCGGTTTTTTAAAGTTGTTTTTTCTGTACTTTATTAATTTTGAAAGATTTTGAAATAAGTTGGGCCTTATTAGGCCTCTGTCTGTACCTTATTCCAATCCATGAAGTTTTGTTAAAGCCTGTGTCGAATCAAATATCACTGTGAAGTGTGTGCAGTAGGTAGTAGATTGTACATACTGACGTTTGCTATAATACTATTGTTCTGACGTAAACACATTCTCGATTAGTTAACAGATTTAGCAGATACTTCAACACTGCACGTTGTTTATGTTTTGCGTGAGATTGCGAGTAAAACAGATAGTGGGCGCAGATGTAGCTCTCTCGAGCTGGCTTACTGCGTCGGGGGAGCAGTGTGTATGTGTACAGACGAGGAACATTATAATTAGACGCACGTGCGAGCACTCGTGCGCGGCACGTGCGGGGCTCCCGACTCGGCTGCTGGCGGCGGCGTGCTGGCCGGCTGGCGCGCACTGCTGGGCTGGTCTGCGGACACAGCGCGCGTTCGCGGAAGTGATACCTGGGTTTGGTGATGTGACAAAAATAGTAGTTGGTCTCGTGACATTGGCAGAGCGCGCGGCGGCGGGTGGCGCGCGCTCAGTCGGCGCCGGCCGCCATGCCCGTCACGTACACGCGCGCCTCGCAGCTGGCGCACCAGCGGTGAGCCCCAGTGTGCCGTCAGTGCAGTGTTCACCGCCCGCCACTGCTTGTCCATACATTACCCACATTTATCCATTACCCCACATTGTACAGGAATGATTCTTTGAGCTACATTCTGTCTTAGCTTTCAGCGACCGGCACTCAGTTACCTGTCACCACAGATATGTCTAGGGTTGCCACCCGTACTTTATAATAAAGTATTGTACGTTATTTAAGGTAATTGTACTCTATACTTTATAAGAATAATAAAGTACACGAAAATACTTTATTTTTGCAAACTTCATTTCTATTAATGTCGTAAGTTTTTTTCGGTAAACTTATCGTATCGATATGATGATTTCGCCACTCGCTAGCGCCACTTAGACAATTTCTGGTAAAGATGCAATTGTTTAGTAAAGATACGAATTTAATACAAACTGCAAAAAGCATTAAAAATATATTTTTAAATGTAATAGTAAAAAAGAATAAATTGTACTTTATTTTTGTACTATGTACTTTTTTTCTTACCTTTAATCGTCAATGTACTTTAAATACCAAAAAAAAAGGTGGCAACCCTAGATATGTCACTTGTGGCTCCTGGCCAGAACACGACATCGACTTCACACATTTTTGCTATAGTTCTAGAAATATATTAGAAATTGAATATTAATTACGAACTTGCAACATTGTGCGGTATGCACAATTGTAATTGTTTAAGAAAGTCATTATTTATGTTCCCATTTTTTTAACTAATGGTTCAATCGGCTATGTTTTGAACTGCACCGATGAATGTTGCATATAAACATATTACCTGTGTATAGTATTGGGTACACATGACACAGGTAAATCATTTCAAACTGCCTGCCTGTGATCTGTCTGGAGAAGTGTTGTGTATACTTGTGCGAGTGAGGTTGTGTATCTGTAGAAAAGAAATTATTCTCGCACGAAAAAGTATTCTTGCACGTTGGATGAGGTGTGGTCGTACTGGTACGCCACATTGTCTTAAACTTTTGCAACACAAGTAGGTACACCAACGGCTTGACCGTTGGTAGCTGGCAAACATTGTACATTTAGTTTCACAACTCAGACAGCTCCGGTAGCGTACAACGTAAGTCATAACGTCAGCAATACTATTCTCAATTTGGATAGTATGGTAGGTGCGAGGTACATATAAAAAAGTACTTTTCTTTCAATTCTTAGTCGTTCAGAAGTTTCACCTTCCGTCATTTTGCTCATTTACATAAAATTATGAAAGTAGAGAGAGTAGAGAGAGAAGAGGCTTAAGACGCTCACGTCTTATGCATATGCGTGCCGGTTCGAAATCTGGCAAGTAGGTACCAATGTGACCCATTATGTTGAAGATGTGTGCTCCAGAGTTGGCACTAGTTTTAACACTTCTTCTTATATTGTCTTACTCTTCGGGCGTAGTCCCGACAAAATGAAAGATTAGCCCACCCGATCCGATCCCTAAAAAAGTGAACGGATAAATTCGTCCAATTACAAATCTATAGCCATAAAGGGAAATGCCCAAAAATACTCCAGAGTTGATGAAAATCATTGATGCGCCACTTAATAGACCACAAGTACGAGGTCACAAGTACGCTATTAGGTTTGGCCGAAACCATAACCGAACGAGCCAGCAACCTGCAGAGTAATACTTTGTATAACAAGGCGCGTGAATAAATGTTTCTGTTTTGTTTGTTTGTTTGTAAGGGAGAAGCGTTGGCAGTAAGTTTGGACGTAACGAAGGCCCTCGATCGACTTTGACATAAAGCGCTTCTTTTGAA